AGGTCTATGCATAATACGCTAGAAGCTGGTTTTGGATCTTCTTCAATGTTGCAACGACATTCTTCATGTTAATCCTCTCCTTGGAACTTTCCATGGAGCAATTCAAAGCCAATTCCATAATGGAACATAAACAATCCAACTTTTCATGGAAATGATCTTCGTCCGAACTCAATAAGTTGGAATCTATTATTTGAAACACAGCATTCGGCACGTTACCATATACCCAGCTTCTTAGGCTCAAATCTCCAGAAAATGTTTCATCGCTTGGTTTCATTCTCGTAAAAACTTCCATCAACATGATCCCATAGCTGTACACATCGCAGCTTGTCGACACTAATCCTCTCGATCCATATTCTACAACCAAATTATGAATTTGATCAAATCTTCTTAACAAGAAACAAAGGCTCGAAAACTAAATTCTGAAGAGACATTAATGCTAGTTATTAACCCTCATGTTTATTTTCTCATGCCTCTCACACACTTAATTTTGAACCTCATAAAGTAGGATAGAATGACCTTTGAATACCCAATATACCCCATAGAATCCACCAGAGTCGAGAAATAAGTAAATAATATAATTAGACTATACGAACCTCAAACAAAGTTGGGAGAAAAGAAAGGAAATCACCTGGTGCAATATAACCCATCGTTGATAGGGTAACAGTGTGTGCAACGCATTCTCCTTGACACAATAACTTCGCGATTCCAAAATCACTCAAGTGGGCGACCATATCATCATCCAACAGTACATTACTTGGCTTCAAATCACAGTGTATTATAGGTGTTGAGTAATCATGGTGGAGATACTCCAATGCGGCTGCTACGTCTATCATAATGCTGATTCTCTGCTTCATATCCAAGTAGTAGTTATGTGAATACAACCACTTCTCAAGGCTTCCATTTGACATGTAGTCCAATACCAAGGCCTTAAAGTCTAGATTAGAGCAAGAGCTTACGACTTTACACAGATTTCGATGGCGAAGATTGCGGAATACTTCACATTCTACCTCAAAACTCTTGAATGCATTTTGTAGTTGCAAATTGAACACCTTTATAGCCACATCTTTTCCCATTTTAAGAGTCCCTCTATACACAGATCCAAAGCTTCCAGTACCAAGCAAATTACTCTCACTATAACCATCAGTTGCTTCGAAAATTTCATAATATGAGACTCTTAATGGTATTATGGTAGACAAAAGGTCTGTTTCAGTTAGGACATTATATTTCCTTCTATATCTCACAAAAGCATATGTCAAAGCTAGAAAAAGTATCAATGCTAATGTCCCTAACATAATAAAAACACCTTGAAGCATTGTTTTTCTCTTTGATCGTTTATTAGAAATTGTTCGACATGGTGGGACATTGTATCTTGGATCACCACATAGTCCTTCGTTGAACATGAAAGATTGATTCATGAAGTTTTTGAAAGGACCACCAGAAGGAATTTCACCACTCAAACGATTGAAAGAAACATTCAAATATGTAAGATATTGAAGTGCTTCCAAGGACGTGGGTATCATACCCGAAAGATTGTTGTGGGATATATCAAGATCCTCCAGGTTTAGCATATTACCAATTGAGTCGGGAATTGATCCTTGCAATTTGTTATTTGCCAAAGAAAGATTAACCAACTTCTGTAATCCTCCAACCGTGCTTGGAATAATGCCTGAGAACTGATTCACTGACAGATCAACCAGGTTTGCAACCTTCAAATTTCCGATTTCAGGGGGGATAAAGCCACTCAAGAGATTTGAAGAAAGATTTAGCTCTAGAAGATTTTTAAGCTGCCATAGATTCACAGGTATGCCAGAGATGAATCTATTGGAATCTAAATAAAGATAATACAGAGTAGTAAGATTCCCTATACAGCCTGGAATTGAACCAGACATTTGATTCTGCTGCAGCAATAATCCATACAGATTCTCTAACTCGCAAATGGATACAGGAATAGATCCACTTAGCTTATTGCCGAAAATAACTAATGCTTGAAGACTTCTCATATTTCTCACAGTTGATGGTATCAATCCTGTCAAGTGATTTTGAAATAGGCTCAAATCTATTAAATTGCTCAAGTTTCCAATTTCGTATGGAATGGTGCCACGCAGATCACAATTAACAGCATAAAGAAATCGAAGAGAACTGGACATATTCCCAACAGAAGCCGGAAGAATCCCACTCAAAGGATTTCCATTAACACTCAAAGTTCTTAAAAATCTACAGTTTGTCAATGAAGAGATGAAGCTCAATTCTGGAGAAGCACTAGTCAAATTGTTCCCGTTCAAGTACAGAATTTCGAGGAATCTCAACTCGCCAAAAGAGTTGGATATTTGTCCAGTAAAATTGTTGAAAGAAAAGTTTATTATACTGAGTTTAGAAGAGTTTGAGATGGAATCAGGTATTCTTCCGCTGAAACTATTTACAGTCATGTAGAGTTCTTCAAGATTTGGTAGTCCGTAACCAAAACTCACCGGAAGGTTGCCTGACAGTTGATTATGTGAAAGTGTAACTAAAATTAATTTTGAAAGATTGAAGAATCCCGTTGGCATGGAACCACCTAAGTAATTATGGCCCAAATCAAGATACTCCAAATTGTAAAGATTGCCAATTTCTTGTGGGATGACACCTACATAAAATCATAAAGATGTTTACAATATGATAGAAATCATTGGGATACAGAATTGTTTGTTGTATGCTTGCTGGAAGGCATACCTGTTAATTTGTTAGTAGAAGCATATAGTGCAGTAAGCAAGGTTAAATTCCCAATCTCTCTTGGAATTTGTCCACTAAAAGAATTGTTGGTTAATGATAAGATCTGAAGTTTTGAGCATTGATGTATTCTTGTTGGGAGTTGGCCATATAATTGATTAAGATGCAAATAAACAACTTCAAGGTGGGTTCCATCAGTGCACATATTTGTTGGGAGAGTACCAGACAGGTTACAACTTGAAATATCAAGATATTTCAGTGAGGAAATGTTAAAGATACTGGCTGGTATAGAACCTGTGAGAAAATTTCCTCCAATAGCTAACCTCGCCACGTTCCGAAGGTTACCCAGTTCTTGTGGGATTGCACCTGTCAAATGATAAAATCGAAATTTAGATAAATAAACGTGTCCCATATCTAAGAGTTAAAGTTTTAAGACTACATGGGTTACTTCTGAAGCAACACAAAAAAAGCTACTAGTGGAGTCAGAGTCGAAAAGAAAGGTCTTCCCGCCACCCGTTAATAATAACTGTGGTCTTTGATGAGTAAATAAATGCAGCATGAACGTGAGAGGACGTGTTGAAGACTAAATTTGAGAAATGTGACTATTCTCTAATAGTTAAGTTTTAAGATCAAGTGGTTCAACATAACCTCCATATATCTGCATGTTGTGTTGAACGGAAATTTGGCTAGGCTGAAATGAAATTTATCAATTAGAACCTTGTTTATTCTCAGAACGAGTAATAGTACCTGTCAAATAGTTTGATCTGAGACGAAGAATCTCAAGTGTTTTTAAGTTACTAATTTCTCCTGGTATGGATCCACTGAACTTGTTGTATGATAAATCAAGAAGCTGAAGTTGTGAACATTCTGATAGACTAGAAGGAATTTCACCTTCAAATTCATTTGAAGATAGATAAAGCCCTTTGAGCCATGGAACTCCATGACATATGTCAACAGGAAGATTACCAGATAAGTTGTTCCCTGTTAAGGCTAGAATTTCCAGTGTCGATATGTTGAAAATCGCCGAAGGTATCACACCAGAGAGCCTGTTATACTGTAATTTTAGTGTTCTCAAGTCATGAAGATCTCCAATCTCTTCTGGGATTTTCCCTTGTAAAGGATTGAAAGAGAGATCCAAATCCTGAAGAGTGGATATATTAGACAGGAAAGGTGGAATGAGGCCAGTAAAACTGTTATTTCTAAGATACAGCACTTGTAATTTAGGTAAGAAACCAAACCAAGATGGAATTTGTCCACTCAAACTATTGAACCCGAAATCAACTATTCTTAGTCGTTGAAGTTGAATAAAATCTCGAGGCAGACTCCCCTGAAAATCGTTTCTGCTCAAGTTGAGAGAATCAAGAAATGGCAGATTTCCCAATTGTGGAGGTATGTTTCCAGTAAGATTCATGCTAGAAATATCCAAAGCGGTCACTCTGTGGTTGAGAATATCACATGTAACTCCAATCCATTTACAAACAGAAGTAGAAACCGACCAATTATTGGATAAAATGTGTGAAGGCTCTAAATTCATGTGGGCTTTGAAGGTGAGAAGAGAAGATTGATCCATGGTAATATTGGTTGTTGCCATAGCCAAGCAGGCCATGAGAAAGTGAACTAACAAAATTGCTGGAGGAAATTGATAAGCTGTCTGCATGACTACCATGCTCACACTTTATTTCTTGCTGCAGCCAAAAGGTTTTACACTAGCTAAATATAGACTTTTTCTGGGGACTGAGAGCTTGGGGGATCAAGGTTAGGAAAAGTTTGATAGGCATCATTGACATTTTTGTATATCTCTGTTGGCTGACGTTTTCCTATTTCTGTAGCATAATCTTCAACGCAACAATGTGAATTGTTATACATGTGACAAGCAAAATGAGAAATATAGAGAAGAGCATCTCCAATGGTACAGTAAAATATATTAATTGTGGATAATGGTACAAGAGAGAGGATGTAGAGAAGGCCAGAGGGGAGGGGCCAGGTAAAGCCCAGGTCAGGCCTGCCCAATGCCTTTTTTTTTTTAATTTCTTTCTGTATATCAATCCAGTATTTTTTTTTTAAAAGAAAAAAAGCATGGCTCCACTCTTGAATTGTAAAGAAACAGTGTAGTTAAATTATAAAAAACTATGTGGAGGATGTCTAGCACACCTTCAATAGTTTGGGATTATGTGACACTTCTTACAACAATTCACCGCTCCATTGCTGAGAAACCTCAACTTGTAGGTATTAAATGAAAATTCTTGAAAGTTGACCACCACAATAAAACAAATTGAAATATTATTATTGACCTCATCATGCTTTTGATGAGTGATTGTAGATTATTATTATGAATATTTATATACATTGGTGTGGGGACATCTTCCGAAGCTTAGATTTAATTTCCCATTTAACAAAGATAAGAATTATGTGTGCAATAATTCATTTGGACTTTATGGTTTTCAGTTGAACTCCTTGAACAGCTTTGAAATGAATACAAAGAAAAATTAAACAATATATGCAGCAAATTTTAATCTTATCTTAATGAATGCTGATTTTTTCTGCTACGTCTCCATCTCACGTGGAGCTAGAATGCCTGCAAATCTGAACCTAGCTAGCTTTGGCCAGTTGCAAAAATAGTCACCTAACAGCCAAGAAACCACAATAGTTGTCTAGTTTAAAAAAAGGATGACCCCCGCCCCGCCCCGCCCCGCCTCTAGAGCATTGTGGAGAAGATAAATTGCAGGATGTGTCTCAACAAGCAAGGGGTACAAAAGTTGTCATACTGGTGCCCACAAAAAGTATAATTTCATACCTTATTAGAGGCAGGAATCAAACCCTCACACTGCGACTGCGAACTTAATTAAGACTGTCTCACTTCTGTCATTTGCACCATTGAGCCATGCCCCGGGGCCACAATGGTCGTCTAGTTTGCCCATAGCCTCGGTGGAGCTCAACACAATTGTAGCTGAATTCATGAACCCAGCTTCTGACCAATCAATAACCTTCCGAAAGTTCATCCCAAAGCCATGGGAATATTTTTAGCCCTTGTTTGGTGTAGATTAAAAATTCAAGTCAAAATCAACAATTAATTTTAACCACACATTTCATAGACTCACAACCTTTCAACCACATATTTCATTAACATTTTTAATCATAATCTATTAAATATCAAATTTTAATCCTCGCCAAATAGAAGCTTAATATGAACTTGTTGCATAAGAGATGAGCGTCCCATGGATGAGTTGTTCGCATACTCAGTCGACCTACATAACTAAATCAAGGCTTAACGAGAAAAACCCTGACGCGGTAAGAAACTCGCACTGTATTGTTTGGGCTGAAAACCCTGTGACGACAAATCTTGTCCCACGGGATCTTTCCAAATAATTCAAAGATCATTAACAATATTTATATTTTCATAGATCGACGTTTCCCTGTTTGAGATACTAATAAAAAACTTCAAACCCATAGAAATGCAAATCCTCAAAAGTTGACCTATATAATAGAACGACTTGAAAGAGAGACTCGTTCTTATTTTAGAAAAGGGTAGCAATGTTCAAACGTTTGTGATACTACATTTTAGTTACTATGAGTGTCTTCAATTGTTGCATTTTACCTATCACAAGTATACAATATTGAACAAGTAATATAGTGAACCTTTAAATCCAGATAATCGTTTCCACAGAAACTATTATTTATTTCTAATTTACTATTTCTACTTCTACTTGACGAAAACAAATTATGATTTGTAATTTTTAATCTAAATTATACTAAATAATTTTATATATTGAAATGCACACAATAATTGCATTAGGTTTTTAAGCATGAAAAAAGGGATATTAGGGCACATAACTTCATTTTTAGATTACCTTTAATTTTCTAATCAAGATTCTTAACTTAATGTCATGTTCTGCCGAATTCTTTTAACGTATTCAATTTACTTCTTTTGAATTTGAATTGATTCTATTTAATTAAATAAATTTCATGTCTATATGAATCGAGATATATCTTAGTTAAACGAATTAAATTTCTAAGAATTCATGTAACGACCTCATTAATTAGAAAATATATACTTACGCTTTTATACTAGTTCACAGATTTTCTTATGTGGTCTAAACATATAACTCACATTTAAACTCGTTATAAACTCACAAAATCATTAAATTATTGGCCAAATAATTCAAAGCATTCCCAATCTTAGATAAAATCAACACAAAAAAATTGAGAACTAGAATCTTGAAAATTGAATTAAAAGATCTCAATAAACTAAATTATTAGATGGGAATAGTCTTAATTGAAGCAAAATCTAAACAAGTAAAGATGGAAAATAGGAAATAAAGAAACAAGTAATTTAAAGAAATATTCTGAATGCAAAACTCCAGCCATTTGATTTGCCCACTGTCAGCAAAATCCAAATAATCATCAATTTCAAATTCATCATAAAAAAAAAAAGTGTCAATAGTAGTTCCCGTCCAAATCATCACTCATTCGACTCTAAGGAATGAAAGGATTGAAGAGATTTTCGTAAAGCATCACCATGTTAGCCATCGAACTTCACATATCGTAGGTTGTAGTTGCACTCAAATATCAACATAATGTAGCCGAAGAGTAAGAAACAAAAAAGTAAGACACGATTGACAAATTTTTGAATCGAATGAATACCGATTTAGATAGAATGACACACCTTGTTTTATATCTCTAGTTTCGTAAGAATGCGTTTAGCTTGCTAGCCTTGATTTTACGACATTCCATGAGTGAAATCAAATCTTCTCTACCATTGATTGAATAGAGACTCCTTTATTTATGACGATTCATTGCTTCTTCTATGAGAATTTCTTTGTTCCCAACGATGCTTGTTTATTTCAAAAACTCCCTACTACAAATCAAACCTGAACGAATATAACGAGTTTAATCGCGTCTTTGAACTTCGTTGAGAAAGTTTCAACAAATATAAACTATAGTTCTGAGCAACACTTGTCACCATTAATTTTTTAGGTTAAGGAATAGACGAGAAACCACGGAAAAAAATTCATGAACTCTTGAGTAATGTTATTCGACATTGTTGGTGTTCAGCGCCAGTTTTAGTGGCAACTGTATGATATTAAATAATAGAATCATTTAATTGCAATATCACATTATTCATGTAATTGAACATATCAAGTGTGATCACCTAAACAGATGCTATGGTAGATGATAATGAACCACTGATTCATTGTCCAATGGACTTGTAATACATTTTAATGCATTTGACAATAAATCAAGAGACACATTATTATGTAGAGCAATAATGATCACAATTAATGATGTGGTATATCACTCTTTAAGAAAAATAAAAAAATTAAGTTTCTTATGGCCAAAGCCCACGATGTTCTGACTTTGTAGATCTGCGTTTCCACCTATTATAATTTAAACATGTGTATGTGATCTAATTGATCGTTTACTTTAGATTTACACGGGACAGAATTTTAAAAAAGAAAGTCAACGACATTATAAATGCTTCCATCAAGAAAGTCAACTATAAAGGGGGCCACACTTTTTTTTTAGAATTTTTTAATCACGCGGGGCCCGTGAGAGGTTGTCAAATTCGTTGTCATCTATTTTCGGTACAAATGAAAAAACCCTTCAATAAAGTGTTAAGTGCTTGTCTAGGAGAAATTTTAAATCTGACTATTGGAGCCGCAATAATTGACTCCATTTTCAAAATTTCGCTTGGTTTGGTCAAAATCCTTCCTGTATAACGGTAAGATTTTTACTCAAAATTTGTGAAAAATTTCTCCCAGACATACTGTAAATGTGAATTTCATATGAAACAATATTTACAGAAATGATCTTAGTTTCTGGCTGCTACTGTTTCATTGTTAACGGTGTGTCTGGGCGTAATTCTCACGAAATGGGAATCGATTTTTGAACCGTTACTTTTTGCCACGTGCCTGCAGATTTTGGTCATTCAATAAATTTACATGGCTCAATTACCATTTTGCCCTCACTTTTGCAGAAATGTACTAAATGTTATGACACACATTTGACCAATTCAACAAGAGATAATTAATGGAGGGCATAAAGGAAATTTTCCTGTGACACGTTCTTCAGTCCATTTTGTGGAATTTTTACCGTTGTGGTCTGCAACGGTAAAAAAGTCGCTTTTAATCAAATTAAAAGCGCTCCCAGACGAGCTGTAAGAATTTAGTGTTTTTTTGTAATATTTTAAAATTTTTATTATCTTCTATTTATAAATATAAATAAAAAATTCCCCTTTTACTCTTTTTATATTGCATTTTTTTTTTGGTAGTTCATAATGTAAAAAGATACTATTATAGCTTTCCAGCTCCTCGTATTGCTCTGCATTCTCCTTGTGAATGAAATTACTCCATTAGTGTCGTTAGCTATTTTATCTAAACAAACTTTACACTATTATTAAACTAAGTATACCATATTTATTTCATTAAGTTTAATCCCTATTTGGTGTATATAAAATCCACTAAAAATCTCAAATTAAAGTCAATAATTCTTGTAATATTATTAAAAATTTCGAGTCAAAGTCAATAATTCTATCATGAGTTATAAGTCTTTAAACTAACTATACCATTTGTTGGGGTCTGAAGAGACGAAAGAAAGTGGCTGATAATTCTATTGTGGCCTGCAACTTGGCAGATTTGAAATGTCTAAAGTATTAGGTGG